TGGGCCCCGACTGCCTGCGCCCCTTCACCCGCGAGTCCCTGGCGGCCATCGAGCGGCGCGCCGTGGAGGAGGCGGCCCGGCTGCAGCACAACAGGCAGATGGAAATCGAGGAGCCCGAGCGGAAGCCGCGCAGCGACCTGGAGGCTGGCAAGAGCCTGCCCCTCATCTACGGGGACCCCCTGCCCGAGGCCATCGGCATCCCCCTGGAGGACCTGGACCCCTACTACAGCGACAAGAAGGTGCGGGCCAGTCCCAGTGCGCGCGCGCGTCTGCGGCCGCGTGTCCCCCGCCTCACGGCTCTCTCCCGCCGCAGACCTTCATCGTCCTCAGCAAGGGCAAGGCCATCTTCCGCTTCTCCGCCACGCCCGCGCTCTACCTGCTGAGTCCCTTCAGCATCGTCAGGCGCGGTGCGATCAAGGTGCTCATTCACGCATATCCTGCCCAAGTGGGAGCAGGCGAGGGCCGGGCGGGCGCCGTGCTCCGGGCAGGACTGCCCTGCAGCCCCTCCCTCCTGCTTTCCTTGACCGCCCCACGCTGTTCAGCCTTTTCATCATGATCACCATCCTGACCAACTGCGTGTTCATGACCATGAGCAACCCGCCGCCCTGGTCCAAGAACGTGGAGTAAGTCCTCCGTCTCCCGCCGAGCCCCGGGCATCTGCACCTCAGAGGCTGCTCAGAGGGAGGCTGCCCAAGCCCTCCGGGGAGAGACACGCTTTCCCCCGGACCCCCATGCCCACCCAGAGCCCCCGGCAGCTCTCAGGGCCGCTCTCCTCGCGTCCTCGGCCCCGGGGACACGCAGGGTCCCTCTCAACTGTCCTCAGCCCTGGGGGACACATAGTCACACTCACCGCATCCTCAGCCCCGGGGGACACACAGCCCTAGGGAAGCCCCCAGGGACATGGACGGTCACTCTCATTGCATCCTCAGCCCCGGGGGCGCACATGGTCACTCTCATCCTGTCCTCACGTCCTCAGCCCTGAGGGACACACACAGGCACTCCCACTGCGTTCTCAGCCCCAGGGGACACAGAGGGTCATTCTCGCCGAGTCCTCAGCCCCAGGGCACACACATGCTCACTCCTGCTGTGTCCTCAGTCCCCAGGGTCATGAGCGGTCACTCCCGTTGAGTCCTCAGCCCAGGGACACGCAGGGTGCCTCTCACGGCGTCCTCGGTCCAGGGCGGCCTCTCTCACGCCTCTGGCCCCTTGCTGGGG